GGACCGTCTAGCTGGATCAAGACATAAGAAATCAAGAGTTTTTTGCGTGGCGTGCGTGGGGGGGGGGGGAGGACACCTACGAATACCTACCTACCTCGTAGTAGAAGAGAAAAGAAAGAAACGACAACCAACAGCCCAAACCTGGCTTAGAGACATTCTTCGATCAAGGGGGTGTTAATTAGTGAGTAGGAAAAAAGATGGCATTTTGCAGCTACGAAGTCGAAAAAGCAAGCAAAGATGTGCGATGTTGCGCCAAATGCCATGCCACGCACCAAAAGGTTAAGATATATGCCAAAAGGCAAACGACGCCATACCCCGTTAGGAAGGAGCCCGTTCCATGATCCAGATTCTTGTGACCGTGAACAGCTCAAAATCTTTGCAAAATGCTTTGCATTTCACAAGGCGAGATTCCAGGGTATACAGATTAAAATGTCCGAACATTGCTCGCTACCATTACTTCCGTACTTGACCCTTGACTATTGATACCTAATTGACTGTGGAAAAAGCGGTGTTGGAAGATACGTATTTCGTACTCCGTAGAAAGAATTGGGAACCCAAGAAGAAGAAAAGCTAAGGGAGGGGCGGATAGGCGGGATTAGAGACAGGGTTCTCGGAGCTGTCAACGCGGGATGCCGCGGCGCTGGGTCCAATTGGATGGGATCATGGAGCTCACAGCTGAAAAGGTACACTACGAGCTTTTTGGTGCTTGTAAATTTTCTTGCCATGTGAAGCTGTGACTCTTTCTTCCATTTTGCGGGTTTCATCCACTTTTTTTTTCTTCTTTTTTTTCCTTTTCCTTTCCATCGTCTCGGCTTCTCATCCGTATGACTCCTTTTTCAAATATCGGATCCTCGTGATGCTCAAGATTTCTCTTACGGGGATACGCTGTTAACTTTTCTCGCTTAGCTTCATGAAAGAGGTACGAAAAGCAAGGTACGGAGATACCTTACCGGGCCTCGGGACCCGGTTCCAACTTTCTTTCAAAGTTCATGTCTTCTTTCGGGGACTATTTTCGGTCTCCGGCTAGCATCCCCCGTTGACATTTCAGGTACCACAGAGCTATAGGAAACTTGCAAGGACCAAGGTACCTTGTATTTGGTAGCCCTCTCTTTCTGCCTTGGCAGCTTCGGTGACGTCCTGGTTTGAAGTTGACTCATCGTCGCCTTTGTCTCAAGGGGCCTATGGGTCGTTGAGTACCTAACTACCTATGCTACACTAGGCAACTCTGTTTTGTCCGTCATTCTCCCGTCAAAGTCAGGGATACGTCGTCCATCTTCGACTGAGGCTGTGTAACCCTCTTGCTTTTCTTTGCGTACGAAGTAGTGGGTTACGGGATACAAGGCAAGGAAAAGATGGCCAGGTCTTAGCTCTGCCGGTCTCGCCTAACCGCCCGCAAGAGTCGTTTATGCTTTAAAGCAAACTAAACAGCAGCAATGAGCAATCTACAGCGTTATGCAAAAAGAGAAACTTGTTCAACTTGTTCAAAGCGAAACATGGCGCAACATTCAACCCTCCCCCCCACCAGTCCATTCCAGTAGAGAAAGAAGGAATAAAACAAAGTTTCGAAATGGAAAGCAGAAACCAACCAAACCCCCCCACACATGCAACTAGTGGGGACTTTTTGATCTGTCTGTGTAACTCTGTGTTACTGTGAGAGCGTGTGCATGTTGTATCGCTGGCTGGATAGTATTGCGGCCTCCAAGCCACCGAGGTTCTGTTCTTGTTTGGTTTAAACCGCGACAATCCGACAACTCGTATACGCAATGCATTCGTTGTGGAGTATCCGTACCCATCGCCGAGACCTGGATGTTTCACTGTTCCGGCCCTCACCGTTGATACCATCAAGTCGGCTTCAAGCGGCGGCCAGCAAAGTTCCTGCATTGCGTGCGACGATGGATCAATGTTGCGATACCACGCAATGGTGGGGACTCTATTGCAATATCTTTCACACGCTTGCGGTGACAAGTTGTGCCCTATGTTCCGGTCTGGACCCAAAGCGCGCCGAAACATTGCTAGCTATTGCGGAGTACATGTTTCTCTTGTCATCGTTTCCACCAAAAGACTGGTCCCCTTGAGTCTCGATGCACTAACTGGCGTTTACCTATTCACTATTCCTCCGTAGTGCGCATCCTCAGACCCTGTGATGTGTACCTGGATGGGGGTGGGAGCAGAGGTGGTTCCCCTACAGTCGGGTATGACGGGGGGGGGACGTAGTGTATCCGTAAGGCACCTGAGGTACGAAGGACCCTCTTGTTCCAGTCATGCCAAAATCATCCACAGCATCTTCTCGCTTTCTCAAGTGTTCAAGAGTCACTGGGCTCCATAGCTACATACGCTTGCGAACCAGACGGAGCTGAGGTGGGACTCCCAGTTCCAGTTCCCGTATGTACAGTCACGATGCTGTGCGACGCTCCCTATGCGCATCTTGTGCTGCGTCACCGGTTCCTGGATTTGCCCTGCGGATCCCCCGTCACAATACCTTCTTCTGTGGAAACTCGAGAGTCTGGACCTTTTTCCCATCAAAAAAGAGCGCACTATCGCGGCGACGCGGACAACCACACGCGTGCCACGGTAGCATCCAACATCCCCACCGGGACGCCTTGAAACGACGGAGGCAGACTTACCTAATCCAAGCCCGGCGGTCGATGAAGAGTCTGGATGCTTCACCGGGCTGGAGCACAAACTGGGGAAAGGTAGCAGCAGCAGCCTGAGGTTTCCAAGACCATCTGGCAAGCATAGGTACAGCAGAAACAAGCTTGGCAGTACGAATATGCTCATGCTGTGTGGATTTGTTTGCTCTGTGACGGCCGGATTGACCCCATCCCTCCCCAATCAATCTCCCTCAGAAGTTTAGAAACCCGTGACTCTCCTGGATTCTCCATAATCCCATACGTTTGCCTGACCGGACGGGGGGGGGTGGGGGACCTAACCCGGACCAGACGGACCTCACGGCCTCTCCGCCGAGCGAGAGCTGCGAGAAGCAAAGCCTATCCGTAAGGTACCTGTTGAGTGGAGATGTGGACGATGCGTTGTCTTTAGGTCCTGCTTGGATCGCCGTCACAGGCCGGGGAGAGCCGGCCAGCACCGGGCTCCACAATGCCAAAGGAGCTCCCCCCCCCCCCCCCCCCCCCCCCCGCCCCCAACCTCTCTCTCTCTCTTCCTCTTCCTTCCCGGACGCCGCCAGCCCGCTCCGGACTCCGTGGAGTGGGCGTAAGGGAGAGGGTGTGAGTCCACAGTCCCAAGGCGTTGAGGACCCATTTTCTTGCACAAAATCGAGCAAGGACAGCCCCAGCTCAGACGGCGTCGATAGAAGGACGCCCCTTTTGTGCAAAGTTGTGCACAACAGCTTTATACAGACCTTATGGATCACAGATTCACAGCCTTTTTAGTGCTCCCGTCATGGAGGATTCATCCTTGGGCCGTCCACTAAACAAGAAACTTGTTCGACGATGGAGCCTTTCTCTCTCTCTCTCTCTCATGTTTGCCATGTTCTTACGTACTGAAGCAATCGCTAGCAAACGCAGTAGCTCAAGCTGAGCCGAGTCTACACTAGCTCTCCCCAGGATTTTCGGGGCCCTCTAAAAGCCAGGCCTCAAAAAAAAGAAACCCGATTTACACGATGGAGTCGTCTAGTGTCAAGAAAAACAAGGCCTGGCTGCCCGAATGACCGGTGCAGATTTTCACTTTAGTACGGCACCACGGGAGCCGGCGCCGACGGTTTTTTCTTCAGAGGCACTAGGAGGCCCCAGAGGGATGGAGACCATGTGCACACACACTATGACTGATGATTGAGAAGTCTACACTAGATCGGCGTCGTCCATTGCCTTGTCCCGCATCCCTGGATTCGAACCCGGTCTTGTTGGTTGTTAGACACGTCAAAGGAACGTAAAAGCCTCCCATCAGCGGCGGCGCTGCTGCCCAAGGCTTTTTCGGTAGCGTTGATTTGGAAAACTTGATGGATCGATCGTCGTCACGCCAGGCGTGCCAGGCCACATGCAAAGGTAGGGGAAAAAGAAAAAAAGAAAGAGAAAAAAAACCGAGACCCTTGACAGCCACTGCCCAACAGCAGCCCTGGATTTTCGAGGTTTTTTCGAGATTTTCTTTTCGACATCGTCGATTCTTCGATCCGAGGGGGTCCATCCCTTTCGATCTAGCAAGGCGCAGTCCGACGATCTACTGTACTATCAAGGGGTGGGCGAACAGGGCCATATTTGGGCCTCCTTCAGCAACAACACACCCCTCGTCGTCAAACTGACTCGGGAAACGCAATTAGGCAATAGCGAAAGGTCGGCCTCGATCGATGGGGTATCGGGGGTGGTCCAGCACGCAAGCGCGCGCAAGACAGGCGCCGCATTGCGAAATGTCCAGACCCGTCTGTATATTGCCTCTGTGATTACGGACTGTTTATCCATCGCCTTCGCCTGAATGGCTGAAAGAAGGATTTGTAAACCGCCTAAGACGGATCTCATTAGTGTTAGACGGGTTCGATACTATGGCGGGATGGCAGATGGCGAATTTGTCTACTCTATCAACCTTATCTCGAAGAAGGATACGGCTAGCATCTTTGCAATTCCCTCGATACCCCCAAGGAATCCTTCAGCGGCCGTTGATTTCTTTGTCTCTGTTTGTCGTCTGTGTGTCTGTATCTCTCTGTTGGGCAACCTTGGGGACGACCCGGCGCACCCCGCGGTAGGTAGGTATGTATTGGGTTGAAGAATCGTCCGCCCATCGTTTCCGTCCTCGGCGACGGCGCCGGGCCAGCGCAGAACGCCAGCGAGTTAAGCTGGGAAGTCTGTTTTGCGGAGCCCCGAGGGTGTGCAAATTTTCTACACAACCTAACTCTGTTGGCCATGATCGGCGGACCGGCCGGGGCATCGCATCTCGCTCTCTTAGCCTGTAACTCCGTAACGCCTCGCGGCGCTGTCCGTCTGGGGGAGGAGGAGGATGGGATGGGACGGCGGGCGGGAAAACAGTGGGAATCGAGGAGTGCTGCCAAAACGTAGGTTGCAGATCACCGAGGGCCGAAGAAATGTTACTACCGAACAGGTTTTTGTCGTGATGTGGGCGGCAAAACCGGATATGAGCGGCGCGGGAAGGGACTGTGGGACTGACGGGGGTGGAAGACATATGCAATGCAACACCACGGCAATTCCTATCTACTATCGACATATTAATTGTAAGATGTTATTTGCTCGATTTCTTCGCACTCTGGGGGGGGAGTTTTTTTTTCTTTTCTTTTTTCTTTTCTTCAACGGCCCCCAATGCTACCGCACCACGATAGGAACTAACTCGGGTTGCTTTAGACCAAAGGAGGAGCTTGTGTCCGTTCTACGTACAATGCCCAGGGGGAGGGGTGTTGCGGGCAGGGCCGTGAAAGTTTATCGTGTCGTGCTCGCGAAAAGCAACGCCATCGATTCGATGTTGCGGCGCGGCATCGACCCTTGGATTTGGACGACGATGGAACATTCAAGGTTTTTTCTGTCCCCTTTAATCGCGATACGGTGGTAAGTGGCGATGGGAATCTGGCATTGTTATCCTTTGCTTTGTAAGAGGGAGCCGAATGTAGTCAGCATTTCCGTTCTCTTACTGCCCAGAGTAATCACTTCTGGAAGTCCATCGAAGGGGTCAAAACTAACTCTCGATGGGGGGGGGGTCGGGTTCCTGGTCTGGTTGACGATACTTTCTCGACGGGCTATTTTCAGTACAAGCTCCTTTCCCTCTCAATGGCAAAGGTGTGATGAAGCTGTTATGTAAGAATCACAGCATGCAAGGTTAGACTTTCGGGTAGGGGGAGAAAAAGGTTTGGACAATCCGTTGTTTTCCTTGGACATGCGTGCTCAACACGAGTCCGCGAGGAGCTAAACGAGGTTTCGAGAAACTCCGATCATCGCATCTCTCTCTCTCTCTCTCTCTAGACTTTTCTCTGCCCTTTTACGAGCATAGGGCTCGTTTCGGAAGCACAGCTAAAGCTTGAGCTTCCTTCCAAACGGATCATATCCTCCGTTGTCCGTTGTCTGTTGTCCTTTGCAACGGAGCTTGTTGGCCGGAAGGTTCGGTCGGAGCACTGCACTGAGGGGTCCCACACAGAGGAAGGGGGGGCACGGTGCTCCCGGGCCGGCGCAGTTTCGGGAGCTGCGGGTGTGCTGGCGGGGCTTCGTAAAGTATGTGTGTTGGCGGATCGGGGTCGAGCGGTGCGAAGCCGAGAAGGATGCCAATTAATTACGGAAGAGTCCGTGCCAAGCGAATACGACACGTCCGAAGGTGCCCTACACCATCAAGTGAAGTTCTGTTATTGTAGGGACCAGAGACGAGAGGTTGTCCGATCGACGGGGCTCGGACGGGCTCCGGGGACGGGGTGGCTGCCGGAGGCTTATGGTTGGCCGGCTGTGACAAGACTGATTGCCGGGGCCGTAATGCGCTGTTTCGAGCTCGGGGAAGCAAGCGCACGCGGGGCTTGGGAGGGCTCTTGGATGACCAACGTCGAATCGTGGGTATCCTTCGTAGTTGGGCTAGTTTACATTTGGCTGGATGATGATGTTCTCAATATTTGTGGAGTTGCGTCGGATTGTTCTGTGTTCGTCTGTGGTAAATGGCAAGTTGACGCATTCCGAGAGCTTTGTGCATCTGTAACGTATCTTACATCAGAAGATTGCTCGGCCATCGGCTTGTCGCCGCGTACGACATGCAACCGATCTGTCTAGCAGATGATGTCTTGGGTAGTTTCCTAGACGAGGCATTCGTACAGTCAGTCAACTTAGTTCTCAACTTGAATACTGCCATGGTGATGAGTGATGAGTGATGAGTGCCTAGAGGTCGACATAGGTTCAGAAGAGGACTCCCTTGGTAACTTGGAGGCTATGAGTTGCGGACTAGATTTAAATGTGTTTCAATTTGGCTTTCTGACGAGGACGTGAACCGCACTAATATCATTAAAAGCTTTCCTACTTACTTATTACTACAGTAATCGTATACTTTATTGGGTTTGCTGAACTAGGCACACTTGAGGAGACGCCGGCTTTCGCTAGCTCTTCCAGTTTTAAAGGCCCAGATTGTTCCGTTAAAACTAAGCTCTCAGCTCATCAAAGGGAAGACGATGGCGAACCTGTTTTACTCTACCAGGCTCAATCATCAGTCTCCAACCCAGTCGTGTCACAAATCAATTCGCACTCCCTTCTCCAGGACACATATTTTCCGTCAGGCCGTTCAATTTCCCGACTAAGAACGGGCCTCTACTCTCCCAGACAAATGTAACTCTCCTTTCTACCCAGAGCGGACCCAATCATCCCTGAATTATGCCCAGAGTTCGTTCTCTCCTAATTCCACAACAGGTATCCCCTCGGCTTGATGCCTTTCGAGCCGTTCTGAGGCGGAAGAAGCTTTTCTTGATACTCCTGAGCCGTCTTCCTTCTACTCCCTGATCTCTATTTATACTCCCCCGATTTAACCAAGAAACGAGAAAGAACGCTTGTAAGCAAAGCTCAAATCGAGGGCCACATTACCATAGAGATTGGATAACTACCACTCTACCTAGGGGAATAAAACTCGATCCCGAGGCAGAACTCTGGGCTCTTGCGGCTTGAGGTGTCCTACTGGCCTCAGCCTCTACTCCTGTTGCTGCTTGTTACTACCGCTCCCCTTCCTCTCCCCTTCTTTCTACCGTGGCTACATTAATATCTATAGATTCGCTTTGAATTAATTTAAGAGGATCCCCGTGAGGTTTGGCAACATTGCTCGAGCAGATGGCTGCTCAGCCCTCGCCCTGCATGCCCAAGGTACACGCATGTGAGCTGCCGGTAGACTGTCTAGGCTGTATGGTCAGCCATTCAATTTCCAGTCCTAGTCACTTGAATCATCCTGCTGCTGCTGCTGGGGAAGTCGAGCCTTTGTTGCAGTACAGATGCTGTTGTCGATACTGCGGATAAGTGTGGCCGGGATTCTTCTAGTCGGCTTCTCCCCGTCCCTCCCTGTACATACATAGTATCAGCCTCATGAGGAGGTTTGGCCATCATCACTATAAGGCCGACAGATTCACGATGGACTAGAAGAATTTTACCCGTTCTATTCACGTTTGAACTTGTTGGCGCCTCGAAGACCCTTCATCACTGGTCAAATGCGAGCAAAACGCTGCGAGGTTCTTTCAAAACCTCTCACAAGCGTAATGCGAGATATACAGATTGGAAACTTCGAATCTCCCCCACGGCGAGGGCAAGAGAAGGTCTCCTACCTGCAGATGATCTAGATATAGGACTCATTTCGTCAACGATTGCGCCGGGATACTCAATTTAGCTTCGGGTTATGCCACTGGGATGCGTAGCAAACTCGGGCACTTGGAGCAGTCGAAATCGCCAGCGCTACGGGTGACGGCCATCAGTAGGCGGCTTACATGTTACGATTTGTAACATATTGTGTCAATGGTTATCATCATCTCCTTATACGTGACTGTGAACTCGTTGTGCTAACTTATCCGGACAGGGAAGTAGTGCAATTGTCGATGCCAGTGCCACTTCCTGACATACTAATAAATGTAGACTGCGTGATGGTGCGCTGCCGTTTTTCTTTCCAGTGTGAATTTATGAAGAGCTGAGCAAAAAGAACTCCAGCTCAGTGTCAACCAAGTGCCTCTCTGTATTCAAATCTTATGAGTGCTAGGTGAGACATCACTGTGAACTCGCTAAAACCCTCATGCTCGTTCGTGTTCGTGGATTTGCCCTGCCTTCAAGCTCTTGAGAATCATGTATCTTGGACCAAATCACGCTACTGCATGTAGACGGTCTGCGTATCTCACGGTTCGTAAGCTGAATCAGGGGAAATTGCAATCAGATTAACAATCCTAGGATGGGAAGTCCACGGTATTCCGTGTAGATGGCTCCTAAAACCTTTCATGAAAGTCTGTGTAACCCACACATACTCCTACTGACTCACTCTGAAGCAGCACATTTTTCATTTGGCGGCTTGGATTTATCAGTCACTGTCGCTTCTCAAGCTTTGATCTAAACATGGCCGCCAACTGTAAGTAAAGGGCTACACGTAGATCAGTTGTCATGGTGGGCACGGCCTCAGCAAAGACACAGAGCAGGACCTTATTGCTTTTTTAATTCTTGTTCGTATCAATGATTCGGCGATTACTGAGATTTAGAGATTCTTTTTCGTTTAATTTGCTTCATTTCTTCGCATTGTTATGTCTTGCCCATGGCTACATCTGAAGTCATGACCAGTCCAACTACCTCCCGGGACAGCCTCGTACGGGCCTAGAGTGAATGATAAAGGAGACGATTATTGATGAGACTCTACAGTTGTTCACAAGACAACGACTCGGCAGTTATTGAGCATTGACTCCCGCCATATACTCACTATTACTTCCGGTTCCGATACTCTGAGGATTGGGGTTTCTTCTATGGATGTCCAGAGGCACATGTACAATTAGATAATCAGATGTCTCGTCCGTACGAGATCATCAAATATTCTTGAAAGGGTAGTTGACATCGCGTAAGCCCGTCTCTGGTAAGATCGATCAAATTCTCGTGAGACTGGAAACCCCGTCTCGACTTTGGTCAATTGAGGAGGTGAACTGACATGAATAATCGATCAAGTGGCACTGCGAGAGTATAGCTACGAATTATGATTTTGGGGTGAAGCTTTACGATATCTGGAGATAGTTCGTGAAGCTGAAGAATAAGAACTCCATGCCTTGTGATAAATCTTCCTCCTTCGAGGCGCGTTGCCAATTGCTCACTTGAACGGCATTCAAGAACGGGTCTGTCTGAGTAATTTCCAAGTCAGTCGTTCTCTGGAAATGACAATTGGAGGTTTCTCTTGAACATATCGAAGGTAAGAACGTGGACTTGTGAAGCTAAGTAGGTGTGAAGGAGTTGACCGTAGATGTCCGTTCAAGCCACAGCTCACGCCACAACCACCGATCCGGACAGCTCGCGCCGGCCGGCCCCACACCCCGCGGACCCCACCATCAAAAAACCCCTGCTTCCTTTGACTTTGCTCGGGAGAAAGTCCAAATCCTACCAACCTTTTGCGATCACATCCCGCCCGAAAATTCGAGCTGCTCTCCGCACCGCGACCGATTGACGAGAAATTGAGCTATTACAAGCTCGACCAGAAGCTACGCGAAACCCCGCGAGTACTATACCCAGCCTGCGATCAGGAAAAAAAGAACATACCCGCACCCAGAGAAGCCATGGCGTCTGCACAGCAGGTTCTGCTCTCCCCGGCAGAGCTCGCCTACCTCCACTCAACCCTCTCCCTCACGCCACCCATCCGCCCAGACGGCCGCAAGGCAAAGCAGTTCCGCCCCCTGACCGCAGAGACGGGCATCCTTCCCGGCACCAACGGCAGCGCGCGCATCTGCTTCTCCGACGGCACGGAGGCCATCGTAGGCGTCAAGGCAGAGATCGAGAAGACGACCAGCCCGTTTGGCGCAGACGTAGACGGCGAGGAGGCTCCGGAGCCGAGGAAAGACGCGGGCAAGAAGGAGGAGGTCAAGGGCAACAATGACTGGCTTGAGATAACGGTCGAGATCCCGGCCTCTAGGGAGGACGACGCCGCGACCGTGTTCCTCGCCAACATGCTCAGCGAAGCGCTGCTCGCCGACGGGGAGCTTACCAAGAAGCTGCGGATTAACAGCCGGTTCCACTGGAAGCTCTACCTAGATGTTTGTCTCTCCTCTCCTGCATACACATTATCGTCCCTTGTCATGAAAGATAGGAAGCTAACACACCTCTCCCCAAACAGATCCTCCTCATCTCCCCGCCTCTATCCTACCCGCTCCCCCTCCTCTCACTCACAACCCACCTCGCACTCCTCGCGACCCGCCTCCCGCGCCTCAAGTCAGAGGGCGACGAAGACCCCATGTTCGACGACGACTGGGAGGCCTCGACGTTCCTTTACCCGCGCGACGGCAGCGCGCCCGCTACCGGCGGCTCGCGCCCGCCCATAACACTGCTCGTCATCGCCGTCGGCGGCAACGTCATCTTCGACCCCGCGCGTGAGGAGCTCGCCGTCGCAGAGTCGGCGCTGGCGGTTTCGGTCGCCGAGGAGAAGACGGCCGCCTCCGCTAGCGGTATGGACGTAGACGGTTGCCAGCTGAAGTTGCTTTCCGTGCGGACGGTGGACCCGCCTTCGCGGTTGACGGCGCCCGGCGTACCCAACTCTGTGAATCCGGCTACCGGTCTTGCTGTTGGTACGCCGTCAAAGGCACCGACGGCGCCAGCGGCTGCACAGGGACAGGCGGCGGAGGGAGTTTGGAAGCCGCCTATAGGAGGTACCAAGGTGCACGTGATTGAGGGGATGATCTCCAAGGTCTTGGAAAAGGGAGGCGTCGCGGACGAGGTGCTAGAGGCGATTGCCGCGGTGGAGCTGGCCTAAGGGGGGATGATTCCGGGACTTGTATTTGAGGGGGATTTTTAACGTTTGCGACATGTCAGGATGGGCAACGGAAAGACAAAAGTCATGATACCAATTGGTGGTTCTGGTTTGGAATGTCATGTTGTACATGGTTCGGTGGAGGGTATATTACAAAAATAGCGTGTTCATCCCCCGTTACATCTTACACATGGATGGGTCATCTGTCTCTTAAAAGATGCCAAACCACTTCTTCTTCTGCTCGTTCTCTGCAGGTGCATTTGCCTCGACGTCAGCCACGGGCGAGGCCTCCATCGCCGTGGCGGCCGCAGCCTTGTCCTCCTCCGACTCTTCCTTCATGCCCAAGAAGTTGGCAATGGGGTTCTCCTTGTCCAGTCCGTGGACCTTGCGGTAGTACTGGCGCTTCGCGACGTCATCGGTGTGGCGCGAGTGCATGGCAATGGCCTTTTCGTTGCGGTCGCGCTCGTGGAGCTGCATCACATGTACCCATGTACGAATGAACTGAAAAGGGCTGCTCCAGAACTCGGACGCGGGGGGTAGGAGGTGCTTGAACGGGGATGTCTGGGAAAAGTTGAGGACCAACGTCGAGATGGCCAGTGTCGTCAGTGTTCCCTAGAAGATATAATGTTAGCCACCCGTCGTCCAACAAGCTACGGCCCGGATGTGTGCGTTTCTGTCAATGGAGGCACACCAGGTTCTACTAACCAAGGAGATGAAGAGGTGGACTTTGCGGCTGTTGAAGAACCAATGCGCCCACGTCCCCTCGGGAGCCATCATGCCAGGATACTCCCGCGTGCGCTGAGCGCGCACTTCCTGGCCGCTGAGCGGACCGCCATAGTGCTTCGGGCCGTTGTTCTTGGGCAACCGGGCGCCGTGGGAGGGCGGGTTGAACTTGGCCGGCTTCTCGAGGATGGGGGGTCCCTTCTGGCCCGCCTTTGTCGGCTTGGACGAGGCGTACCGGATCGTCCACACCGTGTTCCGGCGGAGCGCCGCCGAAGCTGCCGTTGCGGCCGGCCGGCCGGTCGAGGTCGCTGCTGCGCGCCACATGGGGCTCAAGGCCGGGAGGAGGAACCTGGGGAGGAGGGTCGTGGCCGAGGTCGTCATTGATGTTGTTGGTTCGCCACTATAATAGCAGCGGCGGCAAAAAAGGTGCAGGACCGACCCTAAAAAAGTGCCTTTGCCCGATGTTTGCCGACGTTGCAAAAGACGGCGGTCAAGAGAAAAGTAAGTCACCTGGACGGCAATGTTTTAGACTTTCGGGGGTCAGGCGTCTGTTTCACGGCGTCATTGAGGCTCTGGTATGGATCAACGGGATCATCAGGTGCGCGCCGGCAGGATCGGTCGGGGCTGGAAAAATGGAAGCTCCAGAAGAATTTCTCTGCTCAAAGAAGTTACAGTGGAGCTACGTATGATGAGAGGTTGAAATGTTGAAAGCTAAAGGGTCGCCGAACTAACCCCGTCGCGCATCCGGGCGCATGTACGGGTACGTACCTGACCCATACGAAAAACAACCCCTGCTCACCTCAATTGACGATCGCGATGACCCTATTCTGTCTCCGTACCTAGCAGCATCAGCAATAACACTCCATCTATTGGCTGCAAGATTGACAGTTCGGGATCTGGAACAAACAGACGCCGAGGTGGAAGAGGCCAGAAAGCACGGGTATGGGCAGATTTGGGAACCCCAGTCGAGGCTCGGCAAACGGGAAGTTGGTGACAAGAGGATCGAAGTGAGAGATAAAAGACAGAAAAAAAAATTGCTAGTGGCAGGGACACCAACAAAGATCCCCGCTGGCCCGCCGCGCCGCCCCGTTGGTTGATTCGTTGACCTGGCACTCTTACCCAAAAAGCGAGCTGGTCCCGTCACCAAAACACCGAGGCGCAGCGGAGAAAGCGTTCTTCCGGGAGCAGTATCCTGTTTTGCCCGGGTAGCGACCCCCGGACACATCACCCTCTGACCAATGCTGCACATCTGATTGGTGGCCGCGTCGCCACACCGTGTGGCTTGTGCGCCGCGGCACCCAGGTCAGTGAGCTCATTCCAGGCTTTTTTTCCAGGTGCCTTTGCGCCGGGTTGTTGTCATAATTAAAATCGGATAACTTAGCCTTTTTTTTTTTGCCGTACTGTCGTCTCGTCTTTTTTTTACTTGGCCCGATCCGATTCTTAAAGTTTTTCTTTCCCCCTTCTTCCTCCATTCCTCACTCTCAACCATCTACAACCCAAACGAACTTACCTGACGACCTGCAAAAGAGATTCTTCTTTTGCATTTTCTACCTGATACCCCTTTTCAAATCCTTTTAATTATCCTATAATCCGTCAAAATGGCTGGTGGTAAGTCCTCTCACTCCATGCGCGCACCTCCGTCCGTTTTCGCCTTGCTTTGCGGATCCCCGATGATTGTCCATCCCCCGAGCGCTTCAATCCGCCACGAGCCATTGAGCAGCGAAATCGCCTTCGCTGGGTCTTTAACGGTTCGGAACTGCTTCGCGGGCCAATTCGGCCTCGATTTCACCTCTTGCGACACCTTTGTCCTCTGCGACTCGTCTCTCTGAGCACCTCCGACATCTTGCGCCAATTTCCTGGCATTTCGTTTGATGGGGCAAAAAACAGGGGCCCGATGAGCGAGAGACAAGGAGGCGTCGGCAGGGGCGGCGAAGCAGTGAACTCGCTCACGACGATGGCGGTCGGGCTTTCATCGGGATTCTTATCACAAGCAAACAACGAAACCGTCGCGGAATACACATCGCCTCTAGACTAGTAAACTGACCTTGAGGAATTTAGGTGACGCCAAGAAGGGTGCTACCCTCTTCAAGACCCGTTGCGCTCAGTGCCACACCGTTGACGCCGACGGCGGCAACAAGATTGGCCCTGCTCTTCACGGCCTTTGGGGCCGCAAGACCGGTTCCGTCGAGGGCTACTCCTACACCGACGCCAACAAGAAGAAGGGCATCGAGTGGAACGAACAGACTCTCGTAAGCTCTCCCGATCATTCAGTCTCACTGAGGACACTTGAGCCTGATTTACTAACCGTGATCCTTCCTACAGTTCGAGTACCTCGAGAACCCCAAGAAGTACATTCCCGGCACCAAGATGGCGTTCGGTGGTCTCAAGAAGGAGAAGGACCGCAACGACCTCATTGCGTACGTTTTCACTGTTACTCAGCATCCCACTTGAGACTCACTCGCTAACCACGACAACAGCTACCTCAAGGACTCCACCAAATAGACGGATTGATGTGTAACGATAGGATTGCATTAGACGAACTGGCGATTTGCGATTTGTACCAATAGACCACTTTAGAACAGTGTGTTTTGGGGGCTTCACTAAACAAGCCCATGTTTTTCTCTCGAAAATTCTCCCCTTTCAAGACGTTGTAATACAACAAATTTCATTTTGCGAAACAAATATACTAAAGACCTGAGCGTGCCATGCATTGTTTCTGTAGCATCCGTGCCTGCAAATCGTTACCGTGTCCATGATGTCAGCTCTGGCGTGCCTTGTGACGCCGGACGTGGCCGGGGAAAAAAACCCGCTTACTCAGGTAATGCAGTAGTGCGGCCACTCTGTCCCCTTTAGCCAGTAAGATGACTCGCCCGGCGTTGTCATCCTGGCACCTCGTCGAGTCGTCATAGGACCCGTCCTGTACCGAATCATGAATGTCAGGAACGTGTTACGAAATGTAACGGGAAAAGGTCGGTCAATTATTCAAAAATAGCCGTCTTTCGAAGGTGTCCTTAGTGACGGTGCGGCTCAAGCTTTACTCTGCAAGCATCAGGAAGAAAGTAGAATCTTTTGCATGCCCCCTGACTCATGTGAACGACTGTCACTTCTCCACTCTCAGTGGTCAGTGAGTCCTGATCCAATCACACAATCGTCGTGGTCCCCATGAGGACTTTCTCCGACTTGAAAGTTGGAAATATCGTCTGGTTGTTCAGTCGAACCTTTCAGGATGAAAGTCTGAGGAGAGGTATACGGCCCAGACATACAAAATGGTTCCGAATACAATTGACAGTGAACGTGCGCTCAGCCCCTGATTCTCACCACCGCTATCTATAGCTTCGGAACTGAATGGCAAGGTCCGAGAGGCGACGCGGTAAACGCACAAGGAGAACAGGCTAATAGATGACGAAAATTCACTTTCACGTACCTGGAATTGTTTAATCTCTTGGTGTGTTCCCCAGAGGACCTCTATGCTTTGGGCGTGATGGTGTCCTTCTTACACCCGTCTGCCCCTTTATATACTATCGTTGACAACGTCGGGTTGGGGGGGAAAGGGGGTAAAACGCAAGTATTTGAACGTAGATGGCCGAGTCCACAGCACATCTAACCTACGGAAACCCATATACCGTGCGATTGAAACCATTGTCGACATCGTCTTTATTCTGCTATCCCTCTACAGGATCTCGGTGAGGCTCCACGGTCAACAAGGGAGCAGAACATCGTTCTTCTATCTCTGCTGGCGATCTGAATTTCGCTGCATGAGACCGGTTGATTCACCCATGACTAATATTCCTAGAACTTTAGAATGTATATCCTGTTCAATGATGCAATCGTGCTCTCGAGGTTCATCCTCCTCAAGGTTGTGAAAGTATACCGACCAAGGCCTAAGTTACTACTCAGAGTCAGTCGGTAGAGGAACGTAACTCACTTCAAATAGAACTTTGAGAGACTGCATAGCCCCTGGTTGTCTCGATTCACTCTCGGTCTTGCGATGTTTAGTCGTACTCAGAGGGCAAGTGCCAACCTGGCAGCCCAAGCAGGCAGAATAAGCAGGCACCCAACACTAGCACCACCACCACACCTTCCCCCGCCACTCCCAAAGGTCCATAGCCGAGAAAACTTTGAGAAAGGGCATGAGCCTCGTCTGAAGTGTAAATGACCTAGTGGTGGAATTGTAAATGCGTAATGGGTCCCGCAAGGGTTGCGAGTTCGAGTGCCGTTGTGCTCACAAAAAATTGGTGGTCCTATATAATGCCACAGACAGCTCATTTTCGTTGGCACTTTTTTTTTTTTCTTCTTTTTCATTTTTGTTATAACTGGATCATTGATTGATGTAGAACGAACCTTCTGCTTACTTTTTGTTTGACGTCATTGTTTTCTTGGGTTGCAGAAGCGCGGACGAGGCGATTTCTGAATCCAGCGCTGATGCTTCCAACACGTCACAGTAATGGATCCTTCCTTCCCCGCCCCGGGGCCTTGTGTAATGCCTGCCTTCCTCGTTGTTTCTATGACACGAGTTCTAGTGTAGCGGAGTGAAGCTAATCCGAACTCCTTATTTACTAGAGTTGTGATGAAGTGCTTGAACAACATCTATGAGGCGAAGACAAGCAAAGTAGGGAGAAACTTGGCGATTCGCTCGTTCGTCCACATGGAGAACCACACCTACGACTTGGACAAGTTCTTCAGATACATGTTCAAAGAATTCAGTCGTTACTTTTACTCGGCTTTCTTCAGTACCTAAGGTACCTACCTAATCATGTGGGTGTGAATCCATGATATAAGCCCAATTGCTCTAAAGACACCAGACCCTCCCAATAACAAAGGCAGCAATAAAAAGACAAACTCAACTTTTCTCTACCAGTCCACGTCTAATCCACTCCCACCTTTACGTCTGATGATGCAACTTGTTCGCCAACCTCCTGTACGTCTCCGGATTCGGCACACTCGGCTTCGTCTTGCTCAGCGCAGCCTCCCAATCACTCCTGATCAACGCCGGCTCCCCGCCCTCGTACCTCAACACACACTCGTCCAGCGCATTCTTATACAACCCGTACAGATCCGCGCCGCTGAACCCTGCACACCGCTTATCCCGCGCAATCGCCTCAACGTCCACGACGTCGTCTCCGTCGTCACCCTTGCCTTGAGGCTGTACACCCCCGCCAATACCGTTGCGCACAATCGTCCCCAAAATATCGACGCGCTCGTCCTCGGTAGGCAAATCCACAAACAATAGCTTATCAAGACGTCCGGGGCGTAGAATGGCCGGGTCAATCATGTCGGGCCGGTTACTCGTACCAATAACGTAGACCTCGCCCCTGTCCCCGGCGCCATCGAGCTCCGCAAGCAGCGCGTTGACGACGCGGGCGCCCGCCTCGGTGGTGGTATTCTCCCGCTTGGGCACGAGCGAGTCCATCTCGTCAAAGAAGAGGATACACGGCGCGCAGGACTTCGCCCTCGTAAACAGCTCGCGGATCGCGCGCTCCGACTCGCCCACGTACTTGTTGAGCAGCTCGGGGCCCTTGATGAGGATGAAGCTCGCCTGCGCGTCGTTGGCGACGGCCTTTGCGACGAGGGTTTTGCCGCAGCCTGGTGGGCCGAAGAGGAGCACGCCCGCGGGCCGCTGCTTGCCGAACTTCTGGAACAACAAGGGTTCCTTGATGCGCCGGACGATGGAGACTTGGAAGGCGGCGCGGACGGAGTGTAGGGCGCCGACTTCGGACCAGGAGGTGCTGGGGATGGAGCTGAAGCCTTCGCGGCGCATGTAGGGGGTGTGCTCGGCGATGGCGTCGACAAAGTCGCGCTGGCTTACGTGGACGCGCGTAGGGGTCGTGTAGGATGGGTGCTCGATATAGTCGTACCACAGGCAAGCGTCGTCAAGGTCGCGGGCGGCGTTGTCGTCTGAGGTCTGGGTATCCATTCTCTCGGCCTGGATGGTGTTTCTGGCGCGCGCCTCTTCCACATCCATGAAGCGGTCGCTGGCCTTGCGATTGGCAACCTGGATCACGGCGCGGATATCGTCGCCGACGAAGCCGTGCGTGCGGACTGCGAGGGCCTGGAAGTCGACTTCGGAGGGAATGTCGAGCTCTCTTGTCAGAGCCTTGAAGATCTCCTCTCGGGCGTCCGTGTTGGGCACCTTGATCGTAATGGTCTGCGCAAAGTAGTCTGGTCTCCGTAGCGTCGGGTCGACGAGCTCGAGCTTGCTCGTTGTGCCCACGATAACCACCCGGAGGCCCTCGCGCTCCCATTCTCGCAGACGTCGGAGACCGAGCTTGAGCTGTGAAATGACCTCGTGGTCGAACTCGCTGTGGCTGTTGCCCGACTTGGTCATGTACTCGTCCAGGTGGTCAAAGAGAACGACGCACGGCGCAATCTTCTTGGCCTCGTCTAGCACATCGGTGAAGATCTTGCTCACTTTCTCGGGCGACCGCGTCTCGCTCAGGTACCGCCCAATAGAGATAACAGGCGTCCTCGTCCTCCACGAAAGAGATCGCACGAGAGACTGCTTGCCCGTTCCCGGTGGGCCTGAGATGAGAATTCCCATAGGCTGCTCTCCGAAACAGGCGAAGTCCTCGGGCTTCCGCGCGCGCGCAAAGACGTACCGCTGCAGCTCCTCGATGATGCCGCGGACGCCGCCGAGGACGACCGAGCCGGGAGGGATCTGCTCGGGGCCGTACTTGGCCGCCTTGAGCGCCTTCTTCGTGACGACCGCCTGGGCGGTCTCTGATGCGTCGCCCGTCTTGGACTTGGACGACTTGGAGACGATGGCGGAGGCGTCGCTGACATTGCCGGTGCCGGCACCGTTGCTGTTGCCGTTGCCGTTGGCGGCTTCGGGCTCGGGTGAGATGCGGCGTTTCTTGGTGCTTTTGCCGTCTGACCCCTGGGCAGTGGGCACTGCCGGAGCGACGTTCCAGTGCTTCGTCATTTGTCTGTTGAGAAGAAATCGATCTTCCGGCTGTGGAAAGGTGGTGTTAGAAGAAAATCAAAGAAGGAAACGTCATGTAAAGTAGATGAACGGGAAACCCACCTTGTACTCCTCAGCCTGCTCCAGGAGGTCGTCACTGTCCTCGGATTCCTCTTCCTCTTCCCTGCGAAATTCCAACACCCGTTCGATGGCGTCTTCGAGCGGCTTCCGTTTTTGCCTGCTCAGGCTCGAATTGGACTTTTTAATCGACTCATAGATCGCCGTCACTGTCAGCCTCGGTGGTCTCTTTCTCTTTGCGCCGCCGTCTCTGTCCCTGCTCTTCTTGGCCTGCCACTCTACTTCCCTCTCGTCGTCCAGCTTCTTCACAATCTGGTATACGTCACGGTCGAGGCCGGTCCGCAGGGATATTCGGGCCATTGTGAGGTGAAGTGAATGAGGTGAAGTGAAAACGTTGATGAGACTCACTTGAAGAGGAATGAGTCTCTCACTCCGGCTGCACAGCGTTGAAGGCGACTGGCAGAAAAAAAAAAAAGATGGAGGTAGGTGGGATGTGTGAATAGAGTGTGGTGATTGGTGGTTCTGTGTGACGGGCCCATAAAATAATTGTCGTCTCTGCGGACTCGGTTCAAGCCTCCCTAAGTGTCACCTTCCTTCTTATAACTACTACTTTTGTTAAAATCCCTCGACTTTGTCTCTCAAGGCATTCTCCTTGAGTAATAAAATATAGAGCGAGTAACTTACCTTGAAGCGGAATGAAAAGTTGTAACAAGGATAGTACTTGGTAGTGGTAAGGATAGAGGTAAGGTATTGAGA